ATTTAACTTGTTCCAGACATCAGTGTAATTTGATGTGCACAAAAACATAAGAATTGATTGTCATGAAAGAGAATTTGATTTGTTTCCTGAATGGGTAGAAAATTTCAAAAATTCTTATACTCTGACATGAAACATTCTGTTTTACTATAGAAAGAAACAAGTACAGTTACGAAGGTTAAGGAAATTTTACTACTGTAAGAGTGTACTTAAATGCAGTTACAACCTTTAGAGGTTGTTTTTAATTTTAGCTTTTGAGTGACCAGTCACCCATACCGCTTTAACCAGGTTCCAGGCCAGTACACATTCTAGCTTTCTTGGCAAATCTCACACCTCACCTGTAAGTCAGTGTTTATTTCTCCTATGATACATGTACAAAGCTGTATATTTGAGGAAAGAATCTGAGCTTTTTTGAAGAAATCATCTGTTACAATAAGACAGATTATCACTCCAGAGTCATTTAGGCCATAATCTTCAAGAAGCAAAGCTGATGGTGAAAAACTAGAGAGATACTACATAATTCTTCCCTCAGTTTCTACTGTGGCATATAACTGGATTATGTCCTCTAATCAAATATCAATTCACATTTAATATTTATGAGTATGTAAGGAGTTATTACATACAGTTTAGTAAAGCAGTTCTTTAAAAAAGTAAAAATAAACTTCAACTTTGTAAATCAACTTCATAGGGGAAAAAAACTAAGCTTTTGAGAGAACTGATAGTCAACCGAATGTATTAGAATCAGAATATAAAAGAAAACAATACAGCTCGGCTCGGTGGCTCAGCCTGTAATCCTGCACTCTGGGAGGCTTAGGTGAATGGATTGCCTGAGCCCGCGGGTTCGAGACCCGCCTGGGCAACTTGGCGAGACCTCATCTTTACAATAAATCAAAAATTAGCCGGGCGTGGTAGCGCATGCCTGTAATTCCAGCTACTTGGAAGGCTGAGGCGGAAGGATCGTCAGAGCCCAGCAGGTCGAGGCTGTGGTGACCGGGAGCGGCCACTGCACTCCAGTCTGGGTGACAGAGTGAGACTCTGACTCAAAAAAAAAAAAAGAAAACAGTACTATGTTGCACCAATATGCGTTCATAGAACTGAAGATGGCATCATTCAGATTTAATGCCTTAAAAAAAATAAATAAATAAAACAGCTACACAGACTCACAAATGATACAAATTAATAGTTTCCTGGAAAAGAGATTACTATTTAAAAGATCTCAAGCTTTCATCCAGCTTTTAAGGATATGCAGAGACTTCATAAACCCCACAGCTAAATCAGAAAAGTCACTTATAGCTGAGTGTTAAGCATGTGAAATAGAGTGAAACCTTAGACACTAGCAGGGTAAGGTGAGAAACACAAAAATATCCATAAACACCTATATAAAGCACAAAAATCCCTATGATTCAGACACTGTTAAAAGGACACAAGGAACAATCAGAGGTAGCTGTAATAAGGAAAGGCCTTCTGAGGTCATGTTTCTGAACAAGGTTGTTTAAGATATGCGCTGAGTAGTGGGAACAAGGCAAGTGCATGTAAAAGTGAGGGATCCCAGTAAGGTGGGGGAGAGGTGACACGTGTGGCTAGCTGCATGAAAAATATCAGCAAAGGATGAATAAATAAAATCGGTCCCATTTTGGAAAACATACAGGAAGCCCATAAGGCAAGTGGACTATGTATAATAAAGGAGCTATTGGCTGTCAGAAGTTATGAGCTTCACAATTCATCTAAAACGAATAATGTTCCTAATTTGAGTTCTCTACACATCCTAAGGCATAGTGGTCAGGACACTCTGCTCTGAGAGGTATGCAAGGTAAAAGGAAACAGTCTGAGAATAAAACATTTTTTCCAAAGATCAGCCCACTAAAGTGATAACGCATACTTTTGAGTTTTAAGATATTATTTACATAGTACACAACAGAAAGATTTCAAATCAGCATGCTAAATTGTATATACTACCATAAACTAATTAAAATTTTTATATCGCTGTGTTTAATAAAATGTTTTATAATCTTGATTCTTATATTCTAGGCTTTATACAAGCTTTACAGTGCAGCAGCAACCCACAGACATCTGTACCATCAAGCTTTTCCTACACCAAAGTCGGAATCTACTGAACAATCAGAAAAGAAGAAAATGTAATCCAAATTTTTGAAAATACAGGTGCATGACTAATTGTCAACTAAATATTCAGTTTCATGTCTCCATGCAAACATTCAAAGTGCTTCCATCAGAACAGAGTAAAATACCAAACACCTCTGAAGACTGCAAAATGGATTAGTTTTTACTTCAGTATTTAATAAGCAGTTGTGTGTATGCATGGTTATATCATTTTGCTAACATGTACAAATTCCTGATTTTTCTCTTCAAATATGCTGTTATAATTTAAAGTATTTGTCTATTTATGATAACAGTACAAGTGTTCTGCTTGAATTTACTACATTCTACTACTGGGTTATAATTAAACCATGTAGTGATATTATTCCATGTTCGGAAATGCTCATTTAATTTCTACAGGAAAAAATTTAAGTTATTTCACATAGCCATTTGTTAAAGCACAGCATCGTAACTCAGCAGGCTGGATTTCATCTATATCATCTTATATATATATATCACAATCTCTTAGTTATTTTTAAGCACATTTAAAAGCTTTTCAGTTGCTATACCAAAACTATACTGCTTTTACATGATTTAATATAGAATATAAACCTCTTAATCAAAAATGCACAAAAAATCACTTTGTATATGTATTTGCGTTTCACTGCATTGTATATTTTTTCATTTGGTACACAAAGAATGTATTCATAGGTTTATTCTTTTAATATGTGAACTATTATTAAAGTTTACTCTGGTTCCTAAAATTAAAAACAAATGCTTACTGAATTTGAAAATGTCTGGGAGGTGATGATATGGAAGGATGAAGGTTTATGTTTTCTTTTAAATTCAAGATGAAGTATCTTTAATGTTGACACGATTACAAATTTAAGTTTCCATTTTAAGAAACATGTTAATCCCTTTAGGTACCTTCCAGTTCTTCTAGACCAGTGATTGATTCTACACTGTATCTTTAATGACCAAAATCTCTAGTGGAATTTCATTGAACAGATCTCTTACAGAAGAAACAACAGGTGTGGAAATGAAAAAAAAAAAGTTATGCCCCTTATCTAGGAGGTCCAAAACAGAATAATTCCTAAAGACTATCTTAGAAATGGTTCCATCTTAATTAAATTAAATGGCAATATAAAGTAAGGAGTAACAAGAAAGAACAATTAAGATAGAAGAGTGTGTGCAACATCATAAACTATATAAGCTTGCATTTTAGAAAAGTTTGATCACAAGTTATCTTTTCCCAATTATAAACTTCCACTGGCCATACTTTCATTTTTCAATACCCATCTCATATTGCTTTCTTTGCCTATAATCTTCTGAATAGAAAAATCAAATATTTATCATACTATGTGTAAAATTTGGACTAAAAAAAAACCACACATTTTTCCATAAAAATATATTTAATAAGTTTGTTATATAAAATCAAACACTTAGCATTTTTAACATTTCATCAATAATTCAAAATCTTTATCAATAAAACTCACTGATATCTAACTGGGAGTGCTTTGTATTTTGGAAGACTCCATAAACTAAATTTACATATTTACAACACATGTAAATATAACTGAAGAACTACTTCAACTAATGTTGAAATTCATAGAATTCTAGAGATTTATAGCTTAGAAATATCATAAATTTGCCTGCAATCAAATGTACTACACTATTATGAAAAATGTCTTAACTATTAAACCAAAAGGGGAAAAACTGTGAGGGAAATATATGGTTTTTAAGTCTCGTGACAAATGTTTAGAAGATAAAAGTAGTTACATAAAATCAATTTCATAACCAAAATTTCTTTCTTTTTTTTTAAAAGAGACACAGTCTCACTCTGTCACCCAGGCCAGAGTGCAGTGGCATGACCATAGTTGACTGCAGCCTTCCTGGGCTCAAACAGTCTTCCCATCTCAGTCTCCTGAGTAGCTGTGTCTACAGGCATGCACCTACAGGCATGTCCAGCTAATTAAAAAAATTTTTTTTTTAAAAGATGGGGTCTCACTATGTTCCCCAAGCTGTTCAAGGCCTGGGCTTAAGAGTTCCTCCCACCTTGGCCTCCCAAAGTGCTGGGATTATAAGCGTGAGTCACCTCGCCCAGCACCAAATTTCTTTTTTTTCTTTTTTGAGTTGGAGTCTCACTCTGTCACCCAGACTGGAGTGCGCTCCCAGCCACCACAGCCTCGACCTGCTGGGCTCTGGCGATCCTTCCGCCTCAGCCTTCCCAGTAGCTGGAACTACAGGCGCGTGCTACCATGCCCAGCTAATTTTTTTCTTTTTTTGATTTATTGTAGAGATGAGGTCTCGCCAAGTTGCCCAGGTGGGTCTCAAACCTGCGGGCTCAGGCAATCCACTCACCTCAGCCTCCCAGGGCGCAGGATTACAGGCTGAACCACCGAGCCTGGCTCAAATTTCTTATTGAATCCCTGGTTTGTCATTTTTGGCAGCTTAACCCAGCCTGGCAGAAGGCAGTGTTCTGTGCTGTCAGGAACTCTCCACTGTCTCATCAGAATAATGCTAAATGCAGTTAGAACCCTGGCTAAAAGTAAGGAAGTGATGTTAGCAGTTTTGAGTGCTGTACACACCTTCCCCATACAGGCTAAGGCCTTATGCTAATATGTATTCCTGAATATTTAAAGCCCCGTCACCCTTTCATACCCCAAAAAAAACAAAAAACAAAAAAAAACTTTCTCAACATGCTTTAAAAAAGATTCTTTACACTGAGGAGAGACAACCACATACATCATATATAGACACTTATCACAATAAATGTTCCAAATCTTAATTTTATATTTTGAACTACACCATGGTAATATTAAATCACCCCATTCTAGACAATTTTCCACACGATAGCAGTAAACTTTTTTTTTTTAAATACTGCATAGATTCTCTCTTTGCTTTGAAAAAAAGAAAGGTACTGCTGCTGTAAGACATTAACAAGTGATCATTTCCTATTTAATATCTGGTCATGACATTTCTTGCTACATTTTTTTCCATCAAGAATATCAAAGCAGTTTTCTAATATAGAGCATTTGAAAGTGTTTGCCATGTTGGCTCTTAAAATGATAGACTCATTTTTTGTTCACTAAAAGAAAATTTCTGATAACAAAATACATGTAAAATTTGAGTTTTATAATTTCCAAAAAGGAAGCTGCCTTTATTAACCAAAGTACTTGTTTACAATTTTTAATCTGTGAAAATATTTTAAAGCTTTTATAAAACTTAAATTTTATTTTTAAAAAATTAACTTAAAAATTTTTGCCATGTTGTTGGGCATACCACTGCTGTCTCTGCTTGCGGTTTTCCAATTCTGTGAGAAGAGCCTGTCTGTATGCTTCATACATCTTAACAATCTGTTCCAGTTCTTTCATGAAGAGCAACTTTAGCATTCCCTGGTATGTATCCAGGTCAGCCAGCTGGAAGAGTTCCCACTTCAGAATGTGGTCATATCTGTTTTAAAACACAATCATACAAATGTTCACAACACATATACAAACATTTATTTATAGCAATATTAAAGTCTATTTTTTTTAGACTTTAATATTATTTTAAACTTAAACTTTATTTTAACTAAACACCTGTACTCCCAGCTACTCAGGTGGCTGAGACAGGATTGCTGAGCCCAAGAGTCTGAGACTAGCCTGGGCAACATAGCAAGACCCTATTTCTGAAAAAAGTAAATAAGTAAAAATAACAACTGAGTTACTGTTATTTAAATATACCCTTTTTCAGGGAAAAGAGAACACTGCTAGTAAGTTTCATTTCAACTGAAGTTAAAGAATACTCATTTAATTATCAGTTACTCTAATATTAACACTAATCAACCATGAACACAAATTTCAAACTACAATGATTCTATAATTTCTAAAGAACACATTCAGTGCTATTTATAAGCTCATCCAAAGTTAATCGTCAGGAACTTAAAAAATACTTTAGACCACATTGTGCTTGCAAATAATAAAGTACAAAAAACAGGCAAAGTCATTTGTGTCATTAGTGTTGACAGATGTTTTTGAGGAATGTTATTCACAACAGTCAACAAAGAACCAAACAGGAGAAGGCATGAAGAGAAACCATCATTCATGGGGTAAATATTCCTGAGGTTGGCTACATAGTATTTAAAAAACAGGGGGGGAAAAAGCAAGAGGAAAGAATAAACTTTTCAAAATGAGAGAATAAGTAGACTGCAGACTCCATAATGTGGTGACAGACTCCCAAAAGATTATTTTATATAAATCTTGGAAGGCCTTTAGTAATCTTCCATTGTAAGTAGTTCATTGCTTAAGCAGTATTAGTAGTTGGTTGCATATGATGAAGACAGCACTCTAATTCAACTTTCTCATTTTAAAGATGAGAAAACTGAAACCTAAATAGGCTATTTCTTGCAAAAGTGTTTAATGACCAGAAGTTCAGAAAGGCAGAGAACAATGGACCAAGATGCTTCTGAATGTTAACACATCCACTCAGACTAGACAAAGAGTCTGAATTAGAGCAAGGTGTGTACCTAAATGATACTGACGTTATATCACTCAAATCTTATTATAGAACAGACAAAATAGGAAGCTTTGATTGCAAATTCTAGTAAGTTTATTTTTTGAGTCAGGTCTCACTCTGTTGCCCAGGCTAGGATAGAGTGCTGTCACATGATCATGGCTCCACAGTCTCAAACTTCCAGACTCAAGCAATCCTGCCACCTGAGTGGCTGAGACTACAGGTGTGTGACTCCACACCTAGCTAACTTTTTTTTTTTTTTTTTTTTGAGTCGGAGTCTCACTCTGTCGCCCAGACTGGAGTGCAGTGGCCGCTCCCGGCCACCACAGCCTCGACCCGCTGGGCTCCGGCGATCCTTCCGCCTCAGACTTCCGAGTAGCCGGAACTACAAGCGCGCGCTACCACGCCCGGCTGATTTTTTGATTGATTGTAGAGATGAGGTCTCGCTGCCCAGGCGGGTCTCGAACCCGCGGGCTCAGGCAGTCCCCTCATCTCAGCCTCCCAAAGGCGCAGGATTACAGGCTGAGCCACCGAGCCCGGCTGCTAACTTTTTTAAAAAAAATTTTTTGTAGAGACAAGGCCTCACTATATTGCTCAGACTGGTCTCAAACTTCTGGACTCAAGCAGTCCTCCCACCTCAGCTTCCCAAAGTGCTGGGATTATAGGTGTGAGCTACCAAGCCCAGCAGTAAGTTCATTTTTTAATTTTTTTTTTTATTTTTTGAGTTGAAGTCTTACTTTGTCACCCAACACTCACGGCAACCCCAGCGTCAACCTGTTGGGCTCCAGCGATTCTTCCGCCTCAGCCTTCCAAGTAGTCAGAACTACAGGCGCATGCTACCACACCGAGCTAATTTTTTATTAACTGTAGAGACAAGGTCTTGTCAAGTTGCCCGGGCTAGTGTCGAACCCGCAGCCTCAGGCAACCCACTCGCGTTGGCCTCCCAAAATGCTGGGGTTACAGGCTGAGTCCAGTCAGTAAGTTTATTTATTTTTATTTTTATTTTTTATTTTTTGAGTTTGAGTCTCACTCTGTCACCCAGACTGGAGTGCAATGGCCACTCCCGGCCACCACAGCCTCGACCTGCTGGGCTCCGGTGATCCTTCCACCTCAGCCTTCCAAGTAGCTGGAACTACAGGCGTGCGCTACCACACCTGGCTAATTTTTGATTTATTGTAGAGATGAGGTCTCATCAAGTTACCCAGGCGGGCCTCGAACCCACGGACTCAGGCAATCCACTCACCCCGGCCTCCCAAAGTGCTGGGATTATAGGCTGAGCCACCAAGCCTGACCAGTAAGTTTATTTTTAATGATTTATAATATTTCCTAACCAGTGGCTGTTTGATCATTCATTTACCATTTTATTCCAAAAAGAAGCATAGATCTAATGTTAAAAAAAATAAGGTTTGGGAGTTGGAAGACATACACTATATGGTTAGTGAGTCACTATATTGGCACTTTGACATTCATTTCTGTCCTACTTGGGTATGTGTACAGCAACAGCAGTAACCAGTATGCAAAGCCACAAGGTAAATCTAATTTGTTGGACTCCCAATCTTACTCATTACCCGGGAGCTGCAAACTAAGAGATCCAGATTTCTTGGTAGGAGGCTTTATGTTCTTTTTAATGGGAAACTCCAGCTACTTGTGAACATAAGATAGACAGCATAATACTCAATGAGCCTCCATGAAGAACAAGTTAAAGGTGTTTCTTAACATTTCCACCATTCATGTAACTTAAGATTTTATTTGTGTGAAACAAATTCATAATTCCCAACAGCAAAAATGTAATCTCCCAGAGTTGGTTAAGGAACAGTTTAGCAATGTTTACCAATTCAAGATGCTTGAATTTATACCCAGTGAACTATAAGAACGTAAAATTTGTCTATCATCTGTGTACTTTCTAGCAAGAAAAAAAGGAGATGAATAGCCTGCTAAACATACTTTTTTTTTTTTTTTTTTTTTGAGTTGGGGTCTCACTCCGTCACCCAGGCTGGAATGCAATGGCATACTCACTGCCACCCAAGCGTCAACCTGCTGGATTCTGGCGATCCTTCTGCCTCAGCCTTCCAAGCAGCCAGAACTACAGGCGCACACAACCGCGCCTGGCTAAATTTTTTGTGATGTATTGTAGAGACAAAGTCTCGCCAAGTTGCCCAGGCTGGTCTCAAACCCACGGGCGTAGGCAATCACTCGCCTTGGCCTCCCAAAGTGCTAGGGTTACAGGCTGAGCCACCAAGCCCGGCCAATATACTAATTTTAAAGACTTGCATTTCATTCTCTACAACTATTCAAGTTTTTTTATTAAAAAGGAAAAAAATTCCTTCAGACAATTGTTTTCCTTTTTTTAGAGGCAAAGTCTCACCATGTTGCCCAGGATTAAATGAAAGCTATTCACAGGCCCAATCTCAATACGTATCTGCACAAAGCTGCTCACTCCTCCTAGGCAACCAGGTGGTCCCCCACTCCTGGGCAAGTCCCCATAGTGATGACCCCGACGGGCACAGCCCTCCACAGCTCAGAACTGCTAAGCTCACACAAGCCTCCCCAGTAGCTGGGATTACAGGTGTACTCCTGCGACCGGCCTGTTTTCTGACTTCAGTCACAGCTTCAGTATCAAGAGTAAGATTATGAGAAGCAATATCAACTCTTATTCTTTCCTTCTTAACTCACCAAGAAAACTCACCAAGAAATCTGCTTGTCCAAGTTTAACTTTCACTCGTTCATACTCTAACGCACAGGTAGACATTCAGAAAAGTGGGTATAAACCACTCTAGCAGCCTATGCTTCCAGCATCTCTTTTGCTTTTTTCCTAGGGCAATATTCTATTCAAACACTACTTATAAAAAAGCCACATGTGCAAACAGCAATCACTATAATGCCACAAAAAAGAAAACAAAACAAAACAAAAAACCCGTCTGCACTCCTGAGGATGCTGCCCTTAGGAGCCAAAAGTGCTGCCATTCCCAGCTCTGGGTATTACAACTCAGCCTAAGTCCCCTGCTCCGTAACAGTGAGCCCACTCTTTCATGCTTTCCTCCTGTACCTAGAGCTGGGTCAGTGGTAACACTGTGGGAACACCAAGGCATTGGAATAAAAAATGCCCCTGCCACATTACTGCTGAGGATTGGTGTTGGGTGTGTGGGGGGGAATAATAGGAAGTAAATATGATCCTAATGGTCTGTTCCTGTTAAAGACTGAATTTTATAATTTTATCCTATAGTTCAGCTCGTTTACAGTTACACCGTGCATTACAGACTTTTGTGAGCAGACTTAGAAACAAAACTTCACAAAAATTAAATAAAAATTACGACACAATCTGCTTCTAAGTTTCGGAAGTATATGCAAAATTGTGTTGGCAAATTATTACTAGAGATAGGATTTAAAAACTTCAGGAAGTTAAAAGATTCTCAATCATCTGGAAGATGAAAGAAAGACACGAGCTAATCTGGGGGCAAAAACTCCATTTTGTTGGCATAAGTAACGGATTCACTGTCATTCATAGATAACTGCTCACCCTTTGTTGATAGAACAATATTTACTGTTTCTATCCTCTCCAGAGACATAAATTAGTATCAACTAGAAAGCAACAGGTTTCCAAACTTCTTCAAGTTTTTAAGTACTAAAAAGAAGTATAGTACTTGCTCTCACTTTACATCATTTTTCAGTCTGGCCCATTCTGGAAGAGTTCCAACCTATTTGCTAGTTTTCTTAAGTTTTACAGTAAGCTAATAGAGCCACAGAGACAAAAGGGACTATAATTTTGGGAAATCTGTTTCTTTTCATAAGAAACCAGGAGTTCCATTTAAGTACTATTCTCCCCCCAAAAGGGAAAGCTTACTGTGCTATTTTTTTCACAATGAATCGAGTAGAAATAACATAAAGTAGAAAGAATAACCCTCCTTAATCTTATCAACCCCTAGAAATAATCAAGGTTAACAGTTGAACATACATTCTTCTAGACTTAAGGAAAATACAAATGTATATACATATTGCATATGATTTAGGATCAGCATATAAACACAGGCAGTCTATAGTAGTAAGTCAGGTGGTATCAAGGGAGAAAGAAGAGAGGAAATAGTAAAGCAAATGCCATCTGCTATCATTCTTTATCCCATTATTATACTACATGGATATTATGAGATAAAGAGGCATTTACAGATTAGCCCAGACACCTAATCATATGGAACTTCTATGGATAAGTGCATACCTAATTTCAAATGAACCTAAAACCAAACCTCTGAGAAGCATTGTTTATATCTTGAAGGATAATATCTATAATTAAATCTTTTACAAATTACACTGCCAATTTGACTTTTTTTAAAAAACTGATGCTTTAGGACTGCAAACCTCAAAGAACATCTTGTCTCTCTGCGTCAGGCATTAATCAACACAACAGCCATGATTACAGATGGAGAAGAATGGAGGAAATGTAAGAATGTTTACATTGGCTAAAAATTAATACACAGTTTATAGTAAGGGACCAATAATTTTCTAAGAATGTTAACCTAGCCTAAATGAGCAAAGTCATGGTCAAATAAATACAAGAACATTCCCTTTAGATAACCTACCAATTATTACTTTAGGAGCCTGAAAAAATAAGCTAATAAAAACAAATGGCTCTAAGCAGGAAAAAAATAAGTCATTAAAAAAAATCTCTAAAGTGAAGGCATACACACAACCTCCACACCCACACACACACCTTCACACACACACAAAGGGGTGATAAATATGTAATAAGGTGATAAAAAACTTAGATCAGACTTAATACCCCAGAAATTTATTTCATAATTGTCTAAAATAACAGAAAAGTGTTACTACTTCCAAAAAGAGAAAGGCTTTATATTCCTTTTATTTTAATATCAAAGGTCTATTTTACTCCAAATTCAGTATCCAAACATCTTAAACTCTCTCTAAAGCTGTACTTTAAGCTATTTTATACAGATGACTTTGGTTTCTGAAATACAAAAGGGAAATAGTAGGACTTTAAAAAACAAGTAACTGTTACCTTATATAATTGTTTTATGCATATATGTAATTATGTGTAAAATGTCTAGCAAAGGACCAGGAACTTAATAACTGCTCAGTAAATGATAATTATTAAATAAGAAAGTAGCAGTAACAAAAGTTAAGAGCATGGTTTTTGAAGTCAGAGATCAAAGTCCATAATCTACTACTTAGTAGCTGTGTGATCTTGGTATAGATAAAAAGCCAGTTTCTTCACCTACACAATGGATTTTGGGAAGAGTACATGACATAACATTTCTAAAAGTTTAGGGCTGCAAGGTACACAGGAAGCACTGAATAGTTAATAAAAACTTACTTCGAAGCACCCATTTTCTGAAATCATAGCACTTTGCAAATGCTTCTAATACTAACCCATATAGCATTGGGTATCTACTTTTGTTTTCCCTAAAAAGAGAAGCTCTTTGAGGCAAAAATTTCACAGATTCATAATTATATTCCAAGAACTGTGCCTAACAAATAGCCTCAATGAGTCTGGCACTCACAGCCATCTTTAAAGACCCACCTATGCATTTCCCTCTAGAGCATAGTTTTCCTGGCTCCACTTACAATAATAAGAAACCATTACTAGCTGGGCTCGGTGGCTCAGCTTGTAATCCTGCGCCTTTGGGAGGCTGAGGTGAGTGGATTGCCTGAGCCTGCGGGTTTGAGACCCGCCTGGGCAGCGAGACCTCATCTCTACAATAAATAAAAAAATCAGCCGGGCGTGGTAGCACGCGCCTGTAGTTCCAGCTACTTGGAAGGCTGAGGTAGAAGGATCGCCGGAGCCTAGCAGGTCGAGGCTGCGGTGGCCGGGAACAGCCACTGCACTCCAGTCTGGGCGACAGAGTGAGACTCCAACTCAAAAAAAAAAGCATTACCTCTTTTAACCCCTATGTTTCAGTAGAAGAAAAACACTTAGATCTAAGTTCAGCAATTTGCCCAAGATCATTCAGTAAGTAGGTAATGGAGCCAGAAGTCAGTTTCAAACAGTTTCCCTCTGTGCTATCATAACCACCATACCATACATCTATCTACCCTCAGTATTAACCATAATCATTTACTGAAGTCTCTCAATGTACAAGGCACTGTGACAAATACTTTATATACATTTACTTAGGAATCTTAAGAGTAGGTACTATTACTATCCCAATTAAAAGACAAAACTAAGTTAAACACTCTGCCCAAAGTTACACAGTTAAAAAGTACCTTGTGAACTCAGATCATTTCATCCCAGAACTCACAGCCACTACACTATACTATTTCCTCAACACCCTTGTGTCCTGTCTTGTTTCATCCATATTATCTAGGAATCATTTGTACTGGCTCACTCATTTACAAGTTAATCTTCCCCATGAGAATATAAGCCTCTTACTGTATCCCTAATAGCAGAGGTCTATACACAAAGAAGTAAAGATTTAATAAATGTTTGTAGAATATTTCTAATCAATTATTTTTAAAGTTTATAAGCTGTTATAGCAAAAGCCCAATATTAAAAGAAAAACATAGCATTATTTGGGTTAAGCAGCCTGGAGACTCCATTCAGCTATCTGTTCACGCCTCAAAAACGTGTGTGCTGTAAATTCACTTACTTCACAGGGGCTCGAGCATAAACCTGAAGCCAGTCAGGAATTTCTGCAGTGTGATATGGATTTGCAGGTACCAAAAGCGACTGATTCCTTTCAGTTTGCTGTGGTTGGTATGTGACAGGAGGTGGTTGATCATACCGCGGTACACTAAGAAAGAAGTGACATTCTTTATGATAAAGGCCCTAAATCTAAAAAAGAAATTATCATGAACACAATACAGAAGGTGCCAAAAAGAACATAAACACATTTTAAGAAAGTAAAAAACTGTATTAAAATTATAATACTCAATATATACCAATAACAAAGGATGAATACAAGTCACATTTGACTGCTGCAATTACAAGAGGTTCTCAAAGTGGTTGCCTCCAGCACCCAGACACTTCTGATTATGGCAAATTAGAAGTAATACATAGATAACATCTTTTAAAACGTGAATATGTTTTTTGGCTATCCTGGTATCTAAGCATCTCTCAATGTGTGTCCTGCCCAAACCGGCTTCTTTCCACTACCTAAACAATACATATTTTAAAGAGATTTCTTCTGGCTGGTATTTATTCATTTCAAGGACAGTGTCAAAGGATTAAAATTTAAATTAAAACACTGAAAATAAGTTGTAACCTTTACGCAGAGGCATAAAACCAGAATAACAAATTTCCATAACTAGTAATTGGCTATAAATTCATGTAAGAAAGGTTGGTAGTTTCTCTCACAATGAAAATAGATGTTTTTTTCCTCCTGCAGGCTGAAAAAGGAGGTTGGGATGCAGCAGGAGTAAGTACTGTGCTTGAAAAGGCCACATTAAATGCAGATAAGATTTCTACTTTTACCACCTTGAGAGAAGATATGGAAGTCAGAGTTTGTTAGAACCTATTTTAAATCATAGAGACTTTTAAAAAATAAATAAAAATGAATTAATAGTAGTTCTAACAGCCTGTGTATGCTGGGGAGAGTGAGGATGCCAAATTAGGGAGGGATATTCTATGGGAAAGAGCTAAAGAAAGCACTGAACCATTGAAGGTTAAAGATTGAATTCTGGGAGGCCAAAACGATCTATTTCAGATTGAAAGGGATCTCTGCCTTTAAAGCTAAAGATTTATGTGTACATTAGGAAAGGTCACCATTTACCAAACTGGGATTAAAATAAAGGTTAGATTACAATAAGGTCAACAATTTGAAGATCAATGTGCTTGCCGGGTGTGGTGTCTCAGACCTATAATCCCAACACTTTTTTTGGAAGGTCCAAAACTTGAGCCAGCCTGGGTAACATAGCAAGATCTTGTCTCTACAAAAAACTGAAAAATTAAAAACAAAAGATCAATGTGCAAACGACCATGAATTTTATCTTCAACCCTTCTTTCCTAAGATTCAAAGGGAACTGTTCTTTGATAGTACAACTCAGGCTTGGGGAAGAATTGAGGCTTTATAGTCAGAAAAGCCCGGGTCTTAACCTCAGCTTGAACACTTACAGGTTGTATAAATGTTAGGCAAAACTGTTTCACTTCTCTAAGCCTTAGCCTCCTTATTTATAAAAGTGGAACAATAAGCCGGGCTTGGTGGCTCAGCCTGTAATCCTGTGCCTTTGGGAGGTTGAGGTGAGTGGATTGCCTAAGCCCGAGGGTTCGAGACCTTATCTCTACAATAAAATCAAAAAATTAGCCAGGTGTGGTAGTGCACGCCTATAATTCTGGCTTCTTGGAAGGCTGAGGCGGAAGGATCACCAGAGCCCAGCAGGTCGAGGCTGCGGTGGCCGGGAGCGGCCACTGCACTCCAGTCTGGGTGACAGAGTGAGACTCCAACTCAAAAAAAAAAAAAGTAGCCAGGCTCAGTGGCTCAGTCTGTAATCCCACGCCTTTGGGAGGCTGAGGTGAGTGGATTGCCTGAGCCTGCGGGTTCGAGATCCGCCTGGGCAGCGAGACCTCATCTCTACAATAAATCAAAAAATCAGCTGGGTGTGGTAGCACATGCCTGTAATTCTGGTTACTCGGAAGGCTGAGGAGGAAGGATCGCTGGAGCCCAGCAGGTCAAGTCTGCGATGGCCAGAAGTGGCCACTGCACTCCAGTCTGGGCGACAGAGTGAGACTCCAAATCAAAAAAAAAAAAAAAAAAAAAAAAAAAGTGGAATAATAAATTCACACAAGATGGTTGTCTCAGGATTAGTTTGGTAATATAAATCAAGGGTTCTGTATGATAGTTGGCATAACAAAAACAATGAAACAGCTATTAATAATATCTATGCAAGCTTAAGGTCAGTAGGTTTTTTTGAGGGGAGGGATGTAAAAAGTTTACTTTTGAGAGACTAAAAGGGAACAGTTATGTGTCCTTAGGATTCCCAAATTTTTGGTTGACAATCTCTCTCCCAAGCATGACTCATATTTGAAGGATCACCAAGCCGGCCTAGGCTGAAATATCCAAATTATATAAAAGGCTAAGTATAATAGACTGTCAAGTTAAATCATGGTTTTCAGGACAGTGTTTAGTCTCTCCTGTTTTATTTCCACAGAGCTGCTGAGAGAAGAAAATTCATTAATTATGACAGTGCTTTATAAACTATAACCTCAACAATTCAATTTTTTTTAAAAAGGCCAAGCTCAGTGGCTCAGCCTGTAATCCCAGCACTTTGGAAAGCCGAGGTGAGTGGATTGCCTGAGCCTGTGGGTTCCACACTAGCCAGGGCAACTTGGTAAGACCTCATCTCTACAGTAAATCAAAAATTAGCTGGGTAAGGTAGCGCCTGCCTGTAGTTCTGGCTTCTTGGAAGGCTGAGGCAGAAGGATCGCCAGAGCCCAACAAGTCAATGCTGGGGTGGCCGTGAGTGTGCCACTGTACTCCATCCTGGGCAACAGAATGAGATTCCAATTCAAAAAAAAAAAATAGTTCAATAAATATTGAAACTAAATGAAATCACTGGAAAAAAACTATTTCCAAAGTCAAAATCAATACACCAAATATGTGAAATAACACAATAATGATAAGGCTTACTTCTCTAGTGATAATACTAAAATATACTTTCATAATAATGTTAATGGTTCTAAAAAACACAAATATTCATTATAACAAAAAATTTACATTATGTCAGATGATACTAAGCAACATCTATCAATATGTGATAGTATTTTATCTATTTTTTTAAAAATTGTTTGTAGAGACAGGGTCTCCTTGTATTGCCCATGCTAGTCCTGAACTCCTGGCCTCAAGCAATTCTCCTGCCTCACCTTTCCAAAGTATTGGGATTACAACCATGAGCTATCACACTTGGCACATTTTTACTCTTATGGTTCAGTTCTTGAAGCTAATGTGGTTAATCTGAAATATGTGCACCTTCATTACTAATACTAACTTTATGTGCACTTTGAAATTTAGTGTGTAATTACACTTACAGCACATCTCAACTAAGATTAATCACATTTCAAGTGCTCAACAGCCCATGTGACAAGTGGCTACAGTATTAGATAGCAAAGGGCTAAAAGTCTGGCAACAAACCAATCTGATAGGCTTAATCAAAATAGCCCTAATATTTACTGCCATATTTATTAAGCAGATCTGAATGTTTTGTACAGTCCCAATTTTCGCTTTTTTGTCTGGTAACAGTAAAAAAAGGAACATAAAATCATGTCTGAAATGGAATAAAAACAGCAAAATGTTGCAATTCCATAATATATTTTGACTTACTAGGTCTGTATTATTTATAGGAATTTAATTGTAAAGAGTCCACTGCTTTATTTATTTCAATTTCTAGACATCTGAAACAAAAACATTTTTGCATATTAAAGCAGAATCTAATCATAGTAACACTAATACTGTTTTTGAGGCTGTTTAAAGAGAAAAGTAATTTTTCCTTATTCAAGTCATTCATTACTAAATATAAGTCCAGAGAAAAATGTCACACATTTTGAAAAATAAAATCAGAAGTTTAGAATGCCTTTCTTTTGGATGAAAACATAAGTCCAAGATCTAACATCAGACAATTCCAAAACAAAAAGTTGAAAATAAAACTGATACTCTACCTAGGAGCACAAGGATGCCTATACTGAGCCTTCTTATTTGTGTGATCCACATAATAGGTTCCAAATTCTGATGACTCAACTCGCTCCCACCCAGGAGGAAGTCCTTCTCGCTCAAGAGGATGGCTCCAATGAGTTGTATTTGTGTTATGATCTATATAATATTTTCTCCCTCTCATTGTCCAGTCCACAGACCAGCCAAGAGGAAGAGGTAAGTCTTCAGAGCCATGGTTATTTAAATTTCCTAAAGATGTAGCAGCAACTCTCCCAATACCTGTAGGGAAAGAGAAAAAGAAAGAAAAGAAACAGAACAATTATTCAATGCTAAAAATAGCCAGCTAGAAAACAGAAAATCAACTATCAAATGTTCCTAGCAACTTTGAAGAGTTTTTAAAATTACAGTTGGCTGGGCACTAAGGCAAAAATGAAAACATCAAGTTTTATTTTAAAGAAAGGTAAATGAAACAGACTCTTCAAATGTTTTAATATGGATTTTTCAGGTCAGTCTGGGCTTCAAGAGTGTCAGCTCAATGGGTCGTCCAGCCAAACCCTGAGTATTGCTGGTTCAGTGGGCTGGCAAGCCTAGCCCCCAGAGTGTCTCAGCTTTGGAGTCTTGCCTTCTTTCAGCAGCTCTCCTGGTCGGCTGGCAAACCAGCCTGTGGGGTGCACAGCTCTTCGGTTCTGAGGATCTTCTGTAGTTCTTCAGGGCGCAGCTCTTCAGGGTCGAGGTTCTTGTCTCATGCCCAGAAGAATGAGGGGCACGGGCAGCCACAAAGTGAGAAAGCAGGATTTCTAGAGGGGACAGAGAAGCCCCCATAGTGGGAGGGGAACCAAAGGGGTTGCCCGTCTGGGGCCGAGAAAACCTGGTGTTTATATAGCCCTAAATCCAAGCAGATTGGCTACCACTAGCTATGAGCTGACTGGTCCACACTTAGCTGTTCTGATAGGTCAGTATTCAGGATCAACTGGCAGGAATTAGGGGCCTAATGGTGAACTGATTGGTTGCTTTTCAATCCCAGCAGTGAGTACTTAAAGCTCTAGCTTAAGGCAGGCAGAGAGCTTGTTTACCAGCACTGAGCTTGAGAGGCCTGCTGGGAGTTAGCTACGTTGTTACTAGGGGATCTGCCTATCTGCTGTCTGTCTGCCTAGGCTTTTTCTAGCTATCCCGTCTCAGTTTTAAAATTATGTTGACAATCCTAAATATGCTAAAAATAAGCTAAAGAGGATCCCTTGCCTGGATTAGAATAGTATTATGTATGTCAATTATATTGCTATGTACATGTAAACACCAACAACAAAAAGCAATTGAGAAGAAACTTCAGAATGAAAGTAAATGCTTTTTTTTTTTTTTTTTGAGTTGGAGTCTCACTCCCTCGCCCAGACTAGAGTGCAGTGGCTGCTCCTGGCCATCGCAGCCTTGACCTGCTGGGCTCCGGCGATCCTTCCGCCTCAACCTTCCGAGTAGCTGGAACTACAGGTGCATACTACCACACCCGGTTCGAAAGTAAATAATTCAAATTCAGATTCTAAAGAAGGATATGTAAGTTTATGGACAAGTATAGGTTATCAGCAGGTGGTTTAAGAAACTGTGTATTCATTTAAATACAACATTTTTTAAATGGCATATGTATAAGGTGAGTCACTGCTGCATCAACTGCAGTATCAAGGCTAAAAATAAACCAAATGCTCACTAATAGTGGATTTGATTATGCTATTACATGCACACAACAGAGTACTATACTATCTAGCTATAAAAAAAAGAATAATGACTATTTCTATTATTGCCCTAGAGTAATATTCAAAATATATTAAGTGAAAAAAGCAAGGTAAAGAGTCTAGGCAGTATACCATCACATATATCTATGTGGTCGCCTGCCTACAGGTGGCCCTGGGCCGCAGTGATCCTGCCCTGCTGGGATTCACACCCTTGTCCATGTTATCAATAGTTTATGGCAAAGAAGACTTCTGCGATTAGGATATAAAAGGTCCTATAGCTTCTGTCCAGGTCAATGGTTAAGATGGTAATTTTTACTTTATGTACATTCTACTACAATTAAAAACATTTTTTAAAAGTAAAAACCTGGAAATCTAGAATTTAATTTGCCAACAATATAAACTCACGATTAATTTCAATTGCAAAAAAACAAAACACTTTCCTAGAAATGTCCATTGAAAAGGTCTAAAAGAGCTAATCCAACCAGTAGCAATGAGTACAAGTGTGTGATCTCCAAATACTATTTCCCCACTGAAAGGGATCCTTGGAAAAATGGTTGATTCCAGGATTGAGGCAGAAAAGGAGTCTGGAGCATTCAGTCACATAAGAAAGCAAAGAGGAATCAAAAGGAACCAACCTTGGAGGGGCACTGATTTATACATCAGAATTATCATACCAATGACTGAAACACAAATCTTAAAAATCTTACAATCTACCAGTCATCTTCTAGGGCAGGAAAATGCAAGATGATCTAGAATATTTTTGCAGTATCAGACAGTAACTATAGGAAAAAAAAAATCTTAGATTATAACCCAAAATGTGAAATAAATATATGAGTCTATATTGACAGAAACCACAGAATGTGTACGTCTGGGAGAAAAAAACAAAACTTCCTCACAGAAGAACCCCACATGTTCACATATTCCCCACTCCAAGGAGTTTTAGTAACACACCTACCCACCTTGAGAATGAGTTACGGTTAAGTGACTCCCTCCTAAAAAAACAGAGTATGGAAAGGGGAAAACAGTAACAGTACAGTGGAGAAACCTAGCAAACCTTAACTGATGAAGGTTTAAGATCACCAGGAATACCATGTGGCTGTCATGTACCTCTCCTTACATATGATCTCACAAGGACACTTCACCTCTGTGGTGTTCTTTCAAAAATCAATAAACCTAGTCTAATCATGAGATAAACATCAGACAAAATTCAAATTGAGGGACAATCTACAAAATATCTGACATGTACTCTTCAAAACTGTCAAGGTCATGAAAAACAAGAATATGACTGGGAAAATAGCAGAGCTCAAAGACTAAGGAGACATGATAATTAAATGCAATGCAGTACTTTGTATTGAATCTTGGAACAGAAAATAGTATTAATGAAAAAAGTGGTAAAACTCAAATAAAGCTTGGAGTTAAAAATGAATCCATGAGTCTACAAATAAATCCTCACTGGTTACTTTTAAAGGTGGCTTGAGTACCAATTCATTATTCTGAAATAGTAAATAAAGGAAAAGAACTAGCATTTATCCCATCTCTCCTATATGGACAGCAACCAAGTAACTTACAGAGGAAAGTTCTTGATTACAGAATCCCAACTAATAAATACAGAAGAAATTACAGAATTCAAGTATCATCATTTGCAACACCTGATAAAACACAGGCATACCTTGGGGATATTTTGGGTTTGCTTCCCAGACCACTGCAGTTATAAAAGTTATCTTTATACTATACCAGCCTATTAAGTATACAATTGCATTATATCTTTAAAATATGCATATCTTAATTTAAAAACACTTTATTGCTAAAAAAAAATGAGTTAACAGCATTTTTTGCTGGTGGAGAATCTTAACCTCTATATCAAAGGCTGCTGACCAATTAGGGTAGTATTGTGAAGGCTGGGGTGACTGTGGTAATTTTTTATCATAAGACAACAATCAAGTTTGCCCCACTGACTATTTCTTTCATGAAAGATCTCCCTATAGCATATGATGCTATTTGATAACATTTTACCCATAGCAGATATTCTTTCAAAATTGAAGTCAATCATCTCAAACCCTGCCACTACTTTATCAACTAAGTTTATTTAATATTCTAAATGCTTAGTTGTCATTTCTCTTTTTTTTTTAAGGTGTTAACTTATTAACTCTACTTTTGTCATACAGTGGCAACCTCTTTAATATCTAGAAGCTAGATGTTATACAGTTAGGACTCATCTGTCCAGTGTATACACAATATATATAGTACAGCAAAGTTCAGTGAAACACACAGTACGTACAGGGCAATGGGTAAGCTGACCACACACTAGCAAAACACCTTTTGCAATTTCTTCCCTCTCGCCTCCCTCAACCCAATGAACAAGTACAGAGAGTACACTGTTCACAGAGGTAGTTTAACAACTTCATTTTCAAACACAGTTTTTCCCATCAGTTTTTAAAAGTTATTTACCAAAAGTGTTATTCAACTACTTCTATTTTAAATATATCAAGCACTTCTAAATATCCAGAAAGACTAGATATTTCATATAAGAATTTTACACTAGGTACACAGCACTGTTAAATAAAATTGCACATGTGTAACAATGGTTATAATCTGAGGTATCTTCTAAATATGACCATTTTGGGCTTTGAATCATTCTCACTTCCTTCTCTCTGTCTTCAATCCAGTGGACAAGTACATTATGTAATGCTTAGAAATGGCTGAACAAATTCATATACAAAAGTCATCTACAGAAGACAAGCTTTCCTATAAATTTCAACACAAAATGTGCTAATTTTACTAAGAACTTTGTCATACATACACTGACAACCTCTTGAACATCTAGAGACTAGATGCTGCAAAATTAGGACTCATGTCCATTATATACACTATATGCATAGCAAAACAAAATGCACAAAACATACAGAAAAATGGTGTCTGAAAATGTCCAACTAACACATTAGCACAATACCTTTTGCAATTCCCTCCCTCCCTCCTCCTCTAAACCACTGAACAAGTACAAACAGTACTACACTACTCACAGAGGTGGTTCAACAATTCCATTTCCAAAAGACATGATTTCCTATGAATTTTAACAAAAGATATTCACAAAGTGATGTTGTACTACCTCTTTGTTAACATACGTTGGGCACTTCTAAACATCTAGATAGACTAGATGTTTCAGGAAAGGAGTTAATCTGTCCACACAGCAAACTTGAATAAACTGCATATGGGTAACAATAGCTGTATTTGAAAGAGTCTTTGAAACACAAACATTCTGGCCTAGAACCCTTCCCATCTCCAACAACCAAACGGGCTATCATGCTCAAATTTTCAGCAATCTTTCCTGGGAATTTTAAAACAAAACGTGCTGGGCTCGGTGGCTCAGCCTGTAATCCCGCGCCTTTGGGAGGCTGAGGTGAATGAATTGCCTGAGCCCGTGGGTTCGAGACCCATCTGGGCAGCGAGACCTCATCTCTACAATAAATCAAAAATCAGCCGGGTATGGTAGCGCATGCCTGTAATTCCGGCTACTCGGAAGGCTGAGGCGGAAGGATCGCCGGCGCCCAGCAGGCGAGG